GATCCAGATGCGATGTCGAATATGGAAGATGATGATTATGAGCTCTACAACTACCACTTTGACGGATGCAAGCAAAATATCCTCGCGCTCAAAACTTCTGCCTAATGGCCGAGTTCCGGCGTGATAGGTGGATTTAAGAAAGGACGTGCGATGAACATGGCACTTATGAAAACGTCTGAAAACGTCTGGTTAGGATTCTCAACAGATTTGTCCTTCATCGGGCTTCCATTCCAACTTTGGATCAAGGTTCCATTGCTGCCCTGTGTGAGTGTCCATCTTCTATTTTACTCAAAGAGGCTATTACTGATGAATCACGAAGGACCAAGAGGTATCGAGCGGCCTCAGGACCGGCCACGATGCATCCCTTCCGGTCCAGCGGCGAAGTGCGACAAGCCCATCTCGCATTGCAGGGGGCCACGGCAAGTATCGTGCGGTTGTCGGGTCAAATTCAGGACGAGGTCTTGCGTGTTGGCAGATGTCCGGCACTTGCTGCGGAAGATGACGTGATGAACTGGTTATCTATGTAACATGACACAAGTAGTAGAACATTATAGACCTTTCACCCCGTTTTTTTCCAAAAACGCCGTGAAATGAAGTCTATAAAAATCTGGCTATTTCGTACAGAGAGAGACGCTGCTGAAGGCGGGTTTCTGGGCAAGGGCCCCTTCTATACCATGTGCCAAGAGGCCATACTCCCAGCACCTCGACTACCTCCGGGCCTTCCGCGGGCCTCCGGCTGCCAAGATTGCGGAACTGTCAAGGGATTGTAAAGCCCCTCAGCATACCGGGGAAATCGCCGTCCGATTTTGCGAACTTGACTCGGTAGCGCGAGCCGCGTCGCCGCCAGGGCCGTCGCATCACGAAGTACAGTCGCTGTTACAAAGTTGATCCCCCGGGGGGGCAAGATAATTTAGCCATTCATTTCTTTCTCCGCCGCCTTGTTTAACCCCCGTACGGGGGTTAGAGAACGAGGGGGCGATATTCTCGGGATACCGGGTAGGGCAGTTGACCTGCGACCTCAACGACACGGTCCATCAAGCGACCGATCATCTGTCTGGCAGCGAAGGAACGGAAATAAAGCCTGAAAACACTGAGGGAACTTCACTGAGCTGCGTGCCTGATCTCTCTCACACTACCTTTCAGGTTTCGTGTCATTTGTGTCAGGAGATGGCCAAGTATTGACAAAGGTCAAGCAAAGCGCATCGGAACCGAGAGTTTTCTGCCACACACTCAAGGCCAAGTTCAGGATTTCAGCTCGCGCAGTATTGACTACGTCTCGTACCCTCATGTTTACTATCATAGCCTGGCAAATTAGGTGGGAAAAAAAAAAAGATACATGCTAAGTTGGCCGCGTCGTGGGGTGATTTCCAGGCAGCCTCGAAATACTCGTCCAACTTTATTCCCCTCGGCGGCATCATTTTGTTGACTTTGGACGAAGATTCTAACATCGGCGGGAGAAGCTGCGTGTAAATCTGCATTTGCTACAGATGAAATCACATGCACATCGCATCGAGGATTCGTTCTGTTACATAAAAGGGACAGTGTGGCTGGTTAGCAGCCACGAACGAAATTGTAGTGTCTGGATTAGAATTGATGTCATGGACTAATATAGGCGGGGGAAAATTGCGAATGTCAGACGAGATATTAGAAGCGATGACGTCGAAGCCAATCATACGCTGAGTGGGAACGCCAATGCTAAAAATCCTTCTGGCAAGAATATGGAGTGAAGGATGCCACCTGGAGCTAGGAACATGTTCGAGGTAGTTACCTTGGAATCGTCGCATATCGTCACTAAGACGAATCTTTCTCAGGTGGCGCCAAGCAAGCCGGGTGTCAGGATACAATTTTTTTGAGTGACGGAGAAATTCCCAATCAACAGGTATACTGCTGAGGCCAATCTGTGACCTGAGGTGATTATTGCGAGACACGCAGTCGCCGAATGTGAAGTCGGTGTGTTCACATGAAATCCAATTTGGCCTTCGATGAACTACGTCAACAACAATGCCGTCAATCGCTAAGACGCGGTAATGCTCACCAACAGCCATCTCCTCGACGAGAAAAGCTTCGCATGAAGAAGGACATAGCTTCATGTACTCTACCTTAAGTTGAGCCAATGTAGTTACACCCAATACTATCTTGTTCCCAAAGGTCCCTGTCGATACTTTAAGGACAACAGGAAAATTGAGCCGACTCTCGACGTGATTGAGATCAGATGTCTTGTATACACTTATACTCCGTGGCACCGGCACTCCTGCTTGTCTCAGCAAATGCATTGCAATGTGTTTGGCATTGAAAAAACTTGCATGTGAGGATCTGAGTTCAA